AAACTTAGGAGGGTTAGGGTTAGGGCCAGTTTTATAGCATAAATAAAGCATAACACGCTGTCCCACTTTACCTGAACAATGCCGTCCCACATTATCTAACATGTTCAGCTAATGTGGGACAGTGACATAAATCATGTTTTCATAAAAACAAAGGATTATTTTACACTTTTTTCTCCTGTTTCTCAACCAGTGTTTAACCTACTTCATTATGAAACAGAAGTATAGGTTCTTACCTAATGTAAATTTCATTAAAAGCCTTAACATTGAAAAATTGAAACCCACTTGCCGCTGAACTTACCAAGCGTTTGTGCTGTGCAGACCTCCTGTGAAGATAGGCCACGCCCACTCTGATGATGTCAGACCAACCCAAACCATTGTTTAGTGGCAAGAAGTGTTGTAGCAACAATTCAAGATCAGTTTTGATCATTGTGTATTGATTTTGACCATATTAAATCATCACAATGCATAAACGTCCCACATTACCTGATGTCCCACATTACCTGAATTCACCCTAGATCACCATGGCGACGTGTCGGTGGACTGTAAATATGGAGGCCAGGTTGGTTGAGCTGTGGCAACAATATGAGTGCCTGTTCGACGTTTCTTCTTCCACGTACCACGACCGCTATCAACGAGAGAAACGCTGGCAGGAGATAGCCAATATTCTAAAGCTGCCTGGTAAGTTTTCTCTGCTCTCATTTTCAAGCAAGTGCAACAAACATACAAGCTAGCGCGCTAGACGAGGTACCATTCAAGCCATTACTATCATTCAAGCCATGCTGCATCTTCAGATTTTGTATAATAATTTTTTTGCTGCGTACTGCAATACATTGATTTCTGTAACAGCAACAATTTTATATGGCATATAAAGTACGAAAGCAGAAGTACCAGCAGTCAAAAAGCTACATTTTACACATATATAATGTACTCTTATTCATCTTACCAGCACTAAAAAATCATCAATCCATCTCCCGATTTCATCAGACTCAAGGTGGCCAAGCCAGGGGGCCTGATATGTGTGGTTCCATGCTGTTGTAGTGATGTCAGTATAAACGCCACTTGTCAGAGCAAAGGGGACCCACAGCCACTGTGAAAAGATAAAATCATTCAGCAAAATCTGATTTAAAAGTCCAGAGTGTAGGATCTAGTGGTGTCCAGCAGTGAAGTCACGGAACTCAAACTTTTCATGTGTGTTAAGTGTATAGAAGAACTACAGCAGGCAACTCGAAAACGGGAATGGCCCTATCTCAAGCCTGTGTTTGATTTGTCCCTGCGATTGTAGAAACAACATGGCGGACCTCCTGGAAGAGGACCTGCTCTCTATATAGATATATACAGCTCACTCTAAGTTAATGAAACTGATTTTGATTTTCAAGTTATTATAGATTAATGAAAACAAAGTTGGACAACTTTTTGCCAATAAATGACCCTAATTCCTACACAATTCACCTTTAAGAAGAAAGAAGACATTTGAAACCCATCATCTTTAAGTTTCATTGAATAAAACTCACCAAGCTGAGAAGCACCAGTGATATCTGGATAACATCAGTGTAAGCAACTGAGTAGAGACCTCCAAGACTCGTGTAGATGATCGCCACTGCAGCAGAGATCCAAACACAAACACTGAAGGGCAGATCTAAAACCACACTCATGGTTGCTCCTGTGGCATACAAACAGTACAAAGAATGAAGAAGAAGTTTGATTGAGAAAATAGGTCAGGGGTAAGAAAGTGAGTGTGTCAGTTTGATACTCGTATGTGTGTACCCAAGGACAAAAGAGTTGTAGTAATGCAGACAACTTCAATTATGACTGGAACGACAGCGAGAGCCGCAGTCAGTGCTTTTCCATACTTCCTCTGAGATGGATCCATCATACTGATGTAATTGTTCTCCCTCATTGGCTTTGCAAAAAACAGTCCACCTTTAAATGGATGAAAAAGAGAAAAAGACAATTCTTTTCATATTGATGAACCTTGTATACCATGTTTGATGGGTGCCGTAACATTGTTCCGACCTCTCATTGTTCCAACCTCTCATTAGTCCGACGTCCCATTATCCGATATGTGATTATACTAGTCTATACTGTATTTGTGTACCATAGAGGATCAGCAACGCAACAAAAGTAGGCTACTGGTCGAGATACAAGTGTCATAGAGAGGAGAGAATGAAACACCATAACCTCCTGTTATTAACTCTGGGGTCTGGGTTGTGTGGGGAGCTTTCCGTGGTGCTGAATGGCTCCCGGCGGGCGTATTTCTGCCTTGATGGTGCGCCGCGACCGGCTCTGGGTCAGCTGGGAAAGGCTTGAGGCGAAGCAGGCTCACAGCTTATGTGTTTGTCACTTTCTTTTTCATTTTAACCCACACCATGATCTTTTCCTGACCCTAACCAAGTGGTTTTTGTGCCTAAACCTAACCAGACCTTAACCACAGGGCATCATGATGATTTCGGAACAACGGGACTTCGGAACAATGGGTTTAATATGGTCGGAACAATGGGATGTCGGACCAATGGGCTGTCGGACCAATGGGCAGACCCCGTTTGATGTACTAAAGATACAGCCCAGGTCATTTTTTTTAAACTAATGTGGGTAAATTCTCATTCTTATCAGCTCCCTTGGGATGCTTCTAGGATCTGTTTTGGGTCCTGTGATTTACCCTGGCTTCATATGAATAGAGGAAAAGTCCGTTAGCTGCTAGGCTAATTTATACAGTGTAAAATGCCATAGGCTTGTGCTAAAAATATTAGGATGTTGTATTTGTAGGGAAGATGTATCCAGCAAAAGACAAGTGCTTTTTCTGTGAATGCTGCCAGTTATAGTGAAGCTGATTTTGTGTACTTGTGTTTAAAATAGTCGCTATTAAGCCATGTTTAATGTGTGTTTAATGTGTGTTTTTAATCAATTAAATCAACAACTAAAGCCAACTAGTGATTTGGAGATGTAACTGCAGAGTGATACAGACATACTACTGCACAAGTATAAATGCTCACAAAGGCATAGGCCACTTGTGTAGGCATCGGCATAGGCTCTGCATAGAGCTGACGCACAAGTATAAATTCTGCTTTAGAGTTAAGTATAATTAAGGGCGTGGCTGCTTTGATTAACAGGTGGTGCTGCTGACTGACAAATTGCTACCACAGTGTCAACACTGAGCGCATGGGGCACAGGCTAAGTTGTGGCGATCACTATTTCAGTGTGTTTTCATTGCATGAAAGCTAATTGTAATGTTTTGTTCACCTAAAAAGTCTTGTTCAGTGTTTGGTTGTACTAGAAGACCCTCTAAGGAGTCAGATGTTTTTTTGTTTTTGTTTTTTGCATTAATCGGGTTACATTTTGTTTCATTAGTTTCGAGCTTGTTTTTCTCCAGTGAAAAATTAGCATTAGCATTATCACAGTTAACTTAAGCTGTGAATAAACTGTGAGAACCAAACAAGCAGCTAGTGTTAGGTTTGGCTCCATCTCTCGGCCAAATAGGATTATATCTGGCTTCAAAAATCAAAGGTGGCGATGGCCAAAATGCCAAACTCAAGGCTTCAAAACAGGAGTCCAAAAAACAATGCGTGAGGTCTTGGTAGCTACATCCATAATTTTATACAGTCCATGGTATCAAAGCTCTAACAGAATGTTGTTTTTATATGAAGCCAACTTTACGCTATATGCACCTGAACAAATATCATGACTAGTTGCTTACATACTAATTAGAGGGCACCTCCGTTATGATGTGTTGACACATGTATCTGGAGACACACCTCATGTAAAGATAAAATTCCAAAGCATTACAGTGTGACTCAGATTTATATTGAAGAGAGACTTGCCGATGACAAAGGAAACAGATAGTTGCAGAGGCAGAAGAGCCCAGACTAGACCCCTGGTGGGGTCATAAACTGACTCTGCAATTCCAATGATAAAGCCACCTCCGACCCAGGTAGCTGCAAGAGAAAAAGTATATACGCATTAATGCATGGTCGTATCATTAATTTGGGGGTGTGGTGGAAAAAGAAATGTGCAGTGTATTCATTGAAAGGGTTGTGATGACAGATAGAATATGCCCCAACAATTTTTCAGAAAATACACAAATTTGTAACTGACTAGAAACCTCTTTACCATATCATCACAAATGTTTACATCAACCATACTGCATGAAGAAAGACTGGAGATTTACCTGTCATTGTAAAGACTCCCATAACCAAGCTGACACTCCGGTTAGCCAAAAAAGAAATCTCTACCCGTCCACCTTGTGTGTTTTGCTCCAACCTCTTAGATTTTACAGATGCCCAGATGCCGATTCCCAACACAAGCAGGTAGAACGCTACCATCATTATCAGACCTGGTACATTGAGAGCCATTACTGCTTAAAGCAAAGGTGAACCCGCACTCTACTTCTCCAGGTGAGTTTTGAGTTTTGTGATGCCTTTCTTCCAGACACACCCTGTGCGTGAACTAGATAAACCGGGTTTCAAATCCATGCAGAGTGTACTACTGAGGTAGATAGTAACTGTAGCTGAGTTCAGTGTTGAGATTCATTCATATCAACAACAGGCTCTGCAAGCAAGGCCACTATTGCTCTTGCACTGCACCCAAAACTGAATGCCATCCAACTCATTTGTCACTGATAACCCTTTGAAATTTTTTTTTTTTTCCCCATGGAAAAGTAGGAGAAAAGGTGTGTTTTATGGTTGGTCACAATTGTGCCTGGTGGGATAATGTGTTGAATCTACCATTTATTGCCCAAATGAACATAATCTCCTATGCAGTCATCAAAATACTGATATATCTCAGCTCAGTTATTAAAAAATTTAAAACTCTGTCACTGGCAGTCCTCCTCAACGTTCCAGGATGCACTATCAACACCAGAACATCAACAAAAGCACATGGTTGGGTTTGGGAAGGGAACATTCGGCTCCTGGGTGAAAGTCCAAGGTTTGTTGAACCCATCTACCAAACCTCCTACCCACCCTATACAGACTTTCCTGATCCTTATAATTACGTCGTTACCAGCAGTGTTTGAACCTGACCCCATCCAGCAGCGTTTCATACCGCCCTGATAGATGCCGTACATCTGGCCATATTAGTGACGCTGCCCAGCCGTATTACATACTTTTTTTTTTTACTTATTCATTCATTCATTCAAACCTTTATTTACTCGGGAAATCAACTGAGGGAAACCCTCATTTTCAATAATGCAGAGCTTGAACAAAGACATTAAAAACAATCACTAAGCAAACAAGAACCATCATGCATATCAATTAAAACAGAAATGACATCATGTAAAACAACAAACAACAATGACAATAAATGAGCTCTAAAAGTAGAAATACAGGGTGATAGACATGCTAAGGTGCTGATGAATAGTTAAAAGCATGTACACTCAATTAAAACAAGATCAGAAATAAGGCATTTAAACAGCCATAAGGGTGGCAGAGTGTCCAAGTTTGAGGTCTTTTGCAGATTATTCCATGTATAAGGTATGTATACATGGAATAAGGTATGGAGTAAGGTATGCATTTGTTGGGCTATAACCTAGATGAACCTAAAAAAAGAAGCGTAGAAGCTTAGGTAGAAAGAGAACTATGTGTGTGCAGAGGTACATTTAGATACACTGTGTTATCCCACCGGTCACTATTGTTGCTGTGGACATGTTCACTCATTCCGTGACCCCACTGAACAAAGCAGAGCAATTTCAAATCCACACATCAATACTAGACACCTTGAAGATAATGTGTACCACAAATCTCTGTCCTATCTTTATGGTATCAAAGTTTACTAACCTTTTGCTTGGGAGCTTAGATGTAGCCCACCTTGCGTCATGGTGCAACCAGGAAGTAAACAGCTCTGGTCATGTGACAATTTTACACTAAACATGCAACACTGCACATTTTACATTGAAAGACTTTGTTATTTCAATATTTGCTGGAGATGCATTAATACATCATTCAGTACCATTTTTAGAGCCTTATAACTGAAAACTTAGAACTTACTGAAAACATGTCCAGATTTTGGACATGATAAGAAGACAGGGAAATCTGAGTTAGTGCATGGACACTGGGGGTGGAACAGTTCACAAAATTTGTGGTTTGGTTTGATATACACTCCCGACACTGTTAAATTTGTTTTCAATAGCACTCAACAGAGGGTGGCCCAAAGGGATGCTGCTGTCAAGTTAAATCATGATTCCATATGGTACTTCCAGTTCTGTCCTTCAGTTAGATTAACAAAAGGAATGACTCATTAGCAAAACAATATGTTTAACCCTTGCATGAGACTATTTACCATGGGAGTGGGGAACACCTTCAAGTTCTTCATGTTGTCTTAACCCTTCCATGTACCAGAGCCTCCTCACAGAAAGCATGCAAAGTGTAAAGCACTCTGTGACCTCAAAATCACTGAACCATGACACCACTCATATCATACATTTCTTCATGTCTGAGATCCTCCTGACTTTTGTTTGGTATGCATTTTTACAGTCTCCTAGCTATATGGGATCAGTAGGACCCAGTCAGTGTAAAAAACAGTGTTAACATTGATAAAGTCCCATTGTCCTCAAACGTGGTGATAATAAAGTCCCAATGTCTTCAAAAGAGTATTTCTTAATTAACGGCATCTTAGCTTCTTGCTGTTGCTAAAATTGGTCAAATTTGTTGCCTTATATGATGTCAGTGCGTAGAGGAACCAGTAAGCAAGTGGGTTAAGAACAAAACTTGTAACACAGTATACAATTGATACGCAATTTATTTGATTATTTTCCACACATGACCATTTTTCTACAACATCAGGTTTCCTTCAACATCAGTGCATTTCATAGGTCAGCAAGACAACCAGTAGAATCCAAAAACAAGAAAATGTCAAAACCTAGAATAAAAGTGCTTCGTCGACTTCTATGAACATCAAGCACTGAATCTTAAAAAGAACACCACACACAAACGCAGAAATAATACATACGCCATTGCTTCAATCAGGTAAATAACTGACGAGAATGCTGTGCTCCTTGGCTGGAAGACACACACAGAAAGAGTTTGCATAAGGCACCAAGATGTGGAGGGAGTAGCTTATCAGTGGCAGGGTGGATTTCCTCTTTCTGTAGAGAATAGGAGCGTCCTACTTGATATTGGGCTGCTTTGAGAATGTGAGGCTAGGTGGGTGGGTGGGGGTGGGAGGGACACAGTAAGGTTTATCACGTGCATCACAGTATAGATTGGAATTACTTCCAAAGAAAAAAAAAGACGACAAAAACACTGATGGAACAAGAAATTTTAACGTCTCTATACAAAAAGTGGCTCTAAAAATAAGAGCAATTAAAGCGCAAAGATGGTGGATAAATATGCATTCGAAGAAAATAATATTTATTTGCATTACAAAACAAGCAAATTTGGTTAAAAGCTTTTACAACAGACATTTATAAATCGAAGTAATGCAGACACGGGAGTAATATACTTACTGCAATCAATGTGAACAGAGAGACTTTGCCTTCATGCATGTAGGAGTTCTTTCATCCACTGCAAACTCCAATTAAAAAGGAGAAAGACACAAATAGTGGGGGTTGATGCATTCACAAGTGACTCAATCATCATTTAAAATTTAGTTGTTTGTCAGCTAATCTACGACATTCCATTCCAGCAGTGTCTTTGCCAATACACCAATATCAATACTGCATCAAATATTTTCATAAATGAGAATTCAGAGATAAACTGCTGTTAATGTGTATCTAAATGGACACAATTTACCTGATATCAACCAAATTAAAGCAATACCATCACTTCTGACTTTGAGAGAAAGGGTCATTCCACCAATTTTACAAGCGGAGATCAGTTTACTCATCACAGGAAGTACCTAAAGCCCCGTTTCCACCAAGCAGTACGGTACTGTTCAGTTCAATCAGAACGCTTTTGTTTTCCATTATCTCCGTGAAAAGTTGTGGATGGTACCAATGAGACATTTCCATGTTGGGGTACCAAGCACACAGATCTGGTACTAAAAGGTGGAGCTGTGAACACTGCAGTCTGTTGATTGGTCAGTAGTGGACAGTCACTCTGCTCAGGGCTGAGTTGTGGCTGGTTTTGAAGCTCATGTAATCACTGTTCATACCGAGTTGTATTAATAGACTAACTATAAAATGAAAGGATGATTTGCTGCCTCTCACAGCAGCTGGAGTCAGAGAAAAAAATAATTCACTGTGCTGACTGCCGGCGACTTTTAAGGTGGAACATAACTAGTAATGTTACTTAATGTATGAGCTGAAAACTTGAATCCATCAACACACCTTAAATTTCATTGTGACAACTCTGACCATTACTTTAGTTTTTATATGACATACACTTTTATAATGAGTGGATCTTCAAGTGTTTATATATATATATATATATATATATATGAATTTCAACCAGATTATGTGAACTGCATATATTGTAATCCTCACTCAAGAGGAAAAAAAAAAGCATTGTGGAGCATTGTTCCTGTGGGCTCCGGCAGCACTATACCCCTGAGTTTGCCTGAGAGGAACTAAATGCCCAAACCTGCTATTTTTAAATATCCCATGGAGAAGGACTCTCACTGCAGCCTGTTCTATTTTGCTCTGAAAAATGTCGCCGTGCAACCTCGTTCTGTGGACGATAAACGTGGAGACTTCCCTCTGTGTCACCAGTAATGAGGACATACAGTGAGTGACAACAACCTCGCAAACATTTAAGAGTATTGTTTGTGGTGGAAACATTAGGGTCTGGGTACCATGTCCGAAGGGTTACTTTTGGTTCAAAACATACTATACCGAAAGTGTTTGGTGGAGCCGGGGCTTTAGTCTGTGAAAAAAGTTGTGCAATGTTTTCTGTGGTTCTGGAGGAGCTTTGTTAAGTCTGAAACATAACCCTGACGATGTCATCAGGGTGCTCTCCTAAGCCTACTTTACGTTTGAAAAAGGTAAGTCCACCAAGGTTATGATTGGGGATGTCAGTTTTAGTGAATTTAGCTTTTGATAGCTTTTGATGATAGTGATATAAATGTTTTGCCTTTGATTTTATGTTCTGTTGGCTTTGCTGACATACAGTCAGCTAGCTGCATTAGCATTTAACATGTGGAAACACAGCACCCACTGCCCCCCCTTTGGTCTCCACCAATTTCAGTCTATTAGGGTAGTCTTCAGACTATTATTCTGCCAAACTGTTTTGCTTACTTTACATTTTTATGTTTCAGTTTTTCTCCTTTCTTTGTGCTCCCCTCACAGGGTTTGAAGTGGGCGTGGCTCATTTACGGAAAAGGTGAAGTCGCATCCTTCTATGCACCAGTCAAGATTAAAGGGTAACCAATGTTTTTGTGTCTAAGTGACTAATGGGAATAAGTTTTAAAACTGGTCCTGCATTGAGCAAGAGTGCTGCAGCCAACAGCGGCTAAACAGGCTCTAGTGTAACCACTCAGGGCATGTTCACACCGTCAATTTGAGTCTATTAAAAGTGCTTGTTTTTGCCACTGATTAGTTCAGATAGTTATTATAAATGGAAATTATAGAAAGGATCCCTACAGATTTAGACCTTATGATCCTTTTTGTTTGACCAGAAACAGACCAAAAATCACTCTTATAAAATCCACCAGACTCCATTTAAATAAACAGTAATTTCATCATCGTAAAATACAATTCATTCAAAGTCGACAGAAACAAAATAAAACCCAAAAATGCTGTTCTTGGTTTGACTTTCCACTGTTCCAACAATCAACAACTCTGGTTTGGTTGAAATAAAACCTCAATTCACTCAGTTAGATGTGAAAATATGCTGGGTTTATGCACACTAAAATGACTGTTTATTTAAATGTAGTCTAGTGGGTTTGCTGATAGCGATTTCAGGACTGCTCCTGGTCAATTTACATCCATTAAAAGTGCTCATTTTTGCCTCTGACTGGCTCAGATTGTTATCTGACAACATTATGGAAAGGATCCCTACAGAAACAGGCCTTTTTGTTTAAGAGTAAGATCCATTTTGTTTTACCTGAAACAGCCCCGAAATCCCTATCGCCAAACCCACCAGACTCCATTTAAATAAACAATAATATTATCATTGTAAAACACACTTTAATCACTGTTGACTGAAACAAAATAAAAACCCACAAAAGCCTTCTTGGCTCGACTTTTCACTCTTTCAATAATCACCAACTCTGGTTTGGTTGAAATAAAACCTCAATTCACCCAGTTAGATGTGAAAATATGCTGACTATACACGCTCAAATTACTGTTTATTTAAATTGAGTCTGGTGGGTTTGGTGACAGTGATTTCAAGGCTGTTTCTGCTCAAACAAATGGTCTCTGGAGGGATCCTTTCCATAATGATGTCAGGAGAGTTGCAACAGTATGAGATTTTCACGTTGCGATAACCGTCTCAGAAAATAGTTTCATGGTATCACGGTATTACAGAGATTATATTATTATCAGTCTGAATGGCTCTTAAAGAAAGAAAACGGATGGGCTATTGTTGATTTAACAAACATTAATAAGTGTAATTGAAACCTGAAACCATTTTGTTAATGGAAGTGTGTAAAAAAAAAAAAAGTCTCCCCTTGGAAAATAACTAAGATATAGGGGAGATGGGCAAATCTACATAGTATGATAACTGTCAAAAAAATTTTTTCACAGTATACCTTGAAACAACAAGCAACAATATGAACTTGTCAGTGGCAAAAACAAGCACTTTTAGTGGACGTACACTGTTCAAATTTTAAAAAGTCCCACTTGTCACTTAATCACAAAAACATGGGAAAATAGGTTCTCAGAAGCTAGTTCCTAGATTTTTGTTAAACTCTGATTGCTTATCTTGATGTTTAATGTGGGAAATACTTCGATTTGAAGCAAAGCTTTCAGGCGCTCCAACACAGATGAAGATCATATAGAGCAACTTTGCATTTCAGTACATTACATCCAATTTACAACATTTTCACAGCATTACATTTATCAGGCAGTATTCCAATTTTTTGTTACGTTGGATATCTTACTTTCAGAATGTACTCCTCAAAAGTTATTGACCTTAGTGTGAAGAAGAAGAAATGAACCGTATCCAGGTTGATCAGCGTATCCCCAAACATTGATCAGACTATCTTAAGGCTGTGTAAATATAGTACCATTACCTGCACAAGAATATGTTTTCATTGACATTGGATTATAAAAAAAAACAAAAAAAACTGATCAGCAGTACAAAAGCTTGTACTTGGAGGCTTCGTGAAAATCATGAGAATCATTTGAGAACACCTTCAGTCATGTTGTCTCTCTGTCCTTCTCCCCCATGTTGCATTCATCTGTACGTCAGTGCGGGTCATGCTCTCATTTCATAACTGTGTGTGTGTGTGCTCACACAGACACTCTCACACACACATTGCTGAATCTACAATATCAACATCCAAGATACAGACGGTGGGAACTAGGATTTGAATGCAGAGTTTTTCCAAAGTGGTTTGTGATAGACCCAGCCTTCACCCTGGAGGAGAAGAAGAGACCACTGTCAAAATTTAATCTAATCAATTAATAATCTGATTTACTGACTGTTAAATCTGTTTAGAGTTGGAAATGATCTGATGTTAAAACAAGAAAACGCTGAGCATCTTTTGGCAATTAGGACACAATTCAGAGATTTAAAAACTAAAATACGTAGATGACAGACAAGGGAAAAAAACGCTGGTAGATAAATATATGAATAATCATAGTAATCCTGTAACAAGTGTTGTTTATTTAAGTGACCCAGATTCTTGGGGAATTTAAAATAGCGGAGTGCAAGGTGAGAACACTCTGAAATAGAGAAGCTCCAGCAGGAGACAGAAATCATGCTCAAGGTGATTTAAAATTTATTTAGAGTCAGCACAGGTGGCTTTTCACAGGCTGTGCTCTGCTTGTCCTTGTTAGTGTCTTCTGCTGCAGCATCCTGTTAGGATTGTACCTCGACTGCAATTTTTTTTTTTGCAGTAATAAATAAATAAATAAATAAATAAATGCTGTGTCATTAAACCATCATGATTGTAAAATAAATAAAGGAGCATTTTTTGTGGTCGTCTTTCTCACCTCTCTGTCAAAATATCTGGTCCTCCAAGCAGTTACAGTCTCAGCCCGGTGCCTCTCCTCTGTCCTCTGCCTTTCCTCCAGAATCCTCTTGTGCTCCGTGGCTTTTTCAATGTCCTTCTGCCGTAAGGACTCCGTCACATGCTGCCACAGGCGCCTGAAATTTGGAGAAATAATTGAGCAAGTAAGCAGTTGAGTAAAGCATCAATAGAGGCATGCAACTGATTGGCTTCTTGTTCTATGAGAGCACAAACTTCAGGGCTGGATTTGGATTTGTACTCCTTCCTGCTTATATATTTCACTTATATTACTAAAAGTTTGTATAATAAACAACCATTTTTAGGATAGCAGAGCTTGAAATAACATGTGCATATGCACAATAGTGCACCTAATTCTCAGCTCTACATGCACCGGTCCAAGTAACATGGTACAGCTGCCAGCTCAGTCATAAAAAAAAAAAAGCTGCTTACAAAGTCACGCTAATTCTATGATAAACACATTTAATTTCCTTTAAGTTCTTCACAATAAAAGTCCCGTTTTTGTTTCTGATTTCAGATGTCTTTGTTGCAGAAAAAAAAAAGAAAACCATGAAACATCATTGGCAGCTGTGCCTTGTCAAATAAATCAAAACCTATATGACTGGACCATTTGGGAATTTCATTTGGAAGGACAGACACAGGAGGAGGCCACACTCAGCAGTTAGAAGAATATCAGCTTTGCATTAAGGATTTTTGGTAAACAGGCCATACAGTACTTGTTAAGGTTGCTTAGCAACCTCAGACGCACCCTGCCACTGCACTCTTGAAAGCTGGCACAAAAAAGACACAAGAGTAGCGCCCAGCACTGGACCTTGTGTTTTTCAGGTGGTTAAAGATGCAGCTTGTGTAAGATCTCTAGTTTACAGGGCTTACAGTTATTACACAGGCTAGTTAATAACATATCGGGCAGGTGAAGGACGAACCCAAGGCGATATGTAAACTCATCTTCATTTGTCGACTACAAACATGACATATTATCTGAAACATGCAAGTAGCTACATGCCCATTAGCCACTTAGCACAGTCATTACTGCTTTGCCAACAGCGTCTGCATAACAGGCGGCTTGCTCAGTGTGTGACGTGCACTTGTAGATAAAATATAGGCATATATTAATGAAGGTTCATCAGTACAGTTTTGTATTTCTCTGTAATGTAGCACAGTATTAACAATGTTGCTGATACTATTCTTTCTCACACCTTGAACTCAAACCATTGTGTTGCCCCACCCAAAATATATAATCTAATAATTACATAAATGTCGTAAACGTGGCGACTAGTCGACTAATGGCCCTGAATGACGACTATTGGTTGGCTAGGAAAATTCTTAGTTGAAAGAAGAAATGATCCAAAAAATTTGCAAGAAATTAGGAAATTTGTTAAAAAAGAAAAAAAAAGGAAAAACAACAAGTTAAAAACATCCAAACAAGGAAATGACCTGGACAGAGTGCTTAAAATTATAATAGTTCTGTAACATGATTTTAAATATAGTTTTTCTCTAGCTTTTTTTTCCCCTAGTATTTTTTTTTAAATATTTTTTTAAAGTCTATATTTTTTTGTAATTTGTTGGACATTTCTTATGAAGCTGCTCAATGCCCTTTTTCCCCCCATGTTTTTGAAAGAAATCACACCAACCTGCTCAAGGTTCAAAGGTTAAAATTAGGGCTGTCAAGCCATTAAAAATTACTTTAAATCTAAAAATGTATTTAATTAATTACATGCTTTGTATTAAATTCATCAAAATCAATCGCATACATCAATTGTTGCTCCAGACCTCTGGGTTTGCTGCTAAATGCTTTGTGTTGAGGTGATATTTCAGGCTTGAAGTACTCCAATACATAAATTGGATGGTGCTCCTATCAACAGTTCAAGCTGGGCATTTTTTAAATGTAAATGTTCCATTCACAAGGCCAAGCAGCATCGTCTCATCTGCCTCCATCATGTGACAAAGCTGCTGTGGATTTAAATGATGTACTGGGTCAAAGGGCACCACAGACTGCGATTCATCTACGTTGATTTTTAGAACATGTTATTTTTTCTGTGATTAATTAATCAAAGTTAGCACCTAATTTTGACAGCCCTAGTGTAAATACTTGTGAAAGGCATCAGAAAAGCGATGTTGCTCCAGATTTTAAAGGGTTAAAGTCCCTGCAAATCAACTATGTAGGCGACTGTGACAGCCACTCTAGAATCTTCCATTTCTTCTTCTGAAACCAAGCCTTGGTGGACTTTGAGGTATGCTTGGGATCATTATCCTGTTGGAAGGTCCAATGACACCCAAGCTTCAGCTTCCTCACAGATGGCACGACGTATTTACCTAAGATTTCCTGATACTTGACTGAATCCATCGTGCCCTCCACACGCTGCAGGTTTCCAGTGCCAGAGGCAGCAAAGCAGCCCCAGAGCATCACTGAGCCACCACCACCATGCTTCACTGTAGGCAGGGTGTTCTTTTCAGCATATGCTTCATTCTTCTTCCTCCAGACATACCGCTGTTCCATAGGCCCAAAAAGTTCCAGTTTTGTTTCATCACTCCACAGAACAGAATTTCAAAACTTCTGTGGCTTATTTATATGGTTTTGAGCATATTGGAGCCGACTTTTCTTGTGCTTTTGGGTCAGTAGTGGTGTACGTCTTGGAGTCCGGGCATGGAGCCCTTCGGTGTTTAGTATGCGCCTTATTGTACAAACTGAAACCTCAGTGCCTGCTGCCACCAAGTCTTGCTGCAGGTGTTTTGCAGTCACTCGAGGGTTTTTGACCACTTGCCTCCTCAGGAATCTGGTGGCAGCCACTGATAGTTTACTCTTTCTGCCACGTCCAGGTAGTGTAGCCACTGTTCCTTTAACTTTGAACTTGCGAACTATGCTTCCAACTGTATCTCTAGGAACATTCAGAGCTTTTGCTATTGTTTTGTATCCTTTTCCTTGTTTGTGCAAGGCAATGATTTCTTCTCCGAACTTTCTGGACAATTCTTTTGACTGAGCCATATTTCTAACATGCAATCAAACGTCACTCTCAACAAACCCCTAGCCAGTCCAGGTATTTATGTGTTCTGTCTCAAGCACACCTGAACTAATGAAGCCCTTGATTAGTTGCACCAGGTGTGCTTGAAACAGGGGGTTGAATAATTGTGATTAGTTGCATCAGGTGTGCTTGAGACAGGGGTTGAATAATTTTGAGACTGCAGTAGTCATTAAAAGTAGCATTTTGTGTTGAATTTGGATAAAAACCATGGTAATATTAGTTTTATTAAACTATTTCAACTGTTCTTGTCTACTTTGTTTATTGCAAACAGCTGAAAAATTGTACATTTTGCCAATAAGCCTGTTATGCAATGGGGGTTGAATAATTTCGATTGCAACCGTACTTATTCGTTATTATAGGCTACTGTTAATGTGTAACTTTTGTGGACCGACCAACTGTTTATTCTATTTGAATAAATTTACCTGCGCCTTATGGTCTTTAATGTCAAAATTAATGAATTTAAATTTTACTGAAACAGACAGTCTATAGGCTATACTCTTATTCATTTAACAAAAAATAAATCACCTAGAGATCTTTGCTGAGTAATAAGCTGTAAAGACGGGCCGAAGACGACTGTCCGAAACCATTTTAAAAAGAGTCTGACGGCTGCAGAAGGATGCATATACTCACAGCCTCTAAATGAGCAAACAGGTGGGAGATAGGGATAACATACCTGTCCTACTATAACGATCGGGGTGCACAACTGCACATCTTTTTTGATGTAGTTCTCAAATATGGTTTATGAATTAACGTTACTTTCAGCTCCGCCATCACTGACGTGTTTTGTGAAAGACTCGTCGGAAATCATGTGAAGCTGCCAGTTCCAATACGCGCACACTTTGAATTGTGCTCTACATAGTAATTATGAACTATATGTACCGAGTTGAATTCTGTGGAGACAGACCATTCATTTAGCAAGATAAAATGACAAAAATCACCCAAAGAAATCACCAAAAATGAAACCAACCGTGATGGACTCAGCTGATGGGCGATTGGCGATGTATTCGTCCAATCGCCCAAGCCTTAACCCCACCTCCACAGACATCTGTAAGAGTGGGTGCAATTTCAGACAGAACATGACAATGGCATGTAACAAGTTGACAATTCTGTCTGATATCACGCAACCATAGACAGTGAATGATAAAAGATGTTCTAGATCATTGGTTCTTAAATGGTCCAGCAATGGGGTCCAGATTTCTCTGAAGTCTATAGGCCCGTTTCCACCGCAGGGACTTCGGGGTAATTTTACGGGGCCTGGGCCGTTGGTGCGTGTCTCCACCGCAGGAACCACCCCCGAAGGACAGAGTTTTACAGGGGCTAAACAAGTCCCTGCCTCGGAGTAGGTACTCAGAACGGCCCCGAGAAACTCCTGGCTGGGGCTTGGGGGTTACTTGGTGCTGATTGGATATACTCAAGGCGGAATGTGACGTCAACAGAAAGCAACAAAATAGCCGGCATTTTTAAAACTCAGCAGACGAGGGTTAGCTCGTTCATAGCTTCCACCGCCATGTAAACAAACTCAATAACCGGTCCGTGAAAAACATTTTTTCCGGCGGATATCTTAGTTACAACATGATTGAGCTAGCAAAGCAGTATTGTGTTGATATGTGTGGTATTTATTCAGTTTTGGTCAATCACGATATCTAGAAAGCATCAGCTGACAGGGACAGCTAACAGCAGCAGCAAAGCTAACATCAGGACGTCATCTGTTAAAAGCCTCCCGTTGTCGGAAACGACATGAAACTACTCCAAGTGCTGGAGGATCTGACGTGCTGACGTAGTGCGGTAAGCGAGTTGTGTCATTTCCGGTGTTTCTGTGACAGCGTCTCTGTACTGCTCTGGTGAATTCTGCTAGCCTGCTTTCTCACTTCAGTTGCTTTAACGTCTACTTCAAGTCTTAACCCACAGTGGTTCTGTTTAAGCACTTATAGCTCTCCTCCTTTCTACGACTTTCTCGCTAATCTCTTAGCTGTTGTTTGCACGTTACTAGCCTTGGTAGCTACATTAGCTTTACAGTTAGCGATGGCTTCTCCTTCTGCTCTTTCTTGCTCGGTGTGCCAAATGTTCAGTTATGCCTCTGCCTCCTTTAGCGACAGTGG